CTGCTGAAATCGCCATTTGCACTGACGCTCATTAGCTGCCACCCATCAAGAATATTGTTATGATTTATAACTAGGAAATAGCACTAAAATTTCAGGGATTCCTACTTGTGTAAGGATCTCTGAAGGGTGCCCCGTCTCAAGGTCAAATACAGGGCTTTGTCAGTGAAGGGAAAGTTGAACTTAGCTTTAAATTTTCTTTTTTCTTTCCACATAGACTACTAGTGTACAAACAGATACTAATGTTTCTGGAGATAGATCTGATTACTGAGTGGAGCAGTGAGAGGGGTTCCTTGTGTGCAAACGGTATCAGTATGAATTTATGTCATATAAAAAAATGTTAAAATACTGTACTGCTGAGTGATCTCCCATAATAAGCAGATTTGGGTTAATAGCCCCTCACTGACAAGACAGGAAAAGAATGTAATTAATAATTAGTCAGCTCAAGACTAAACAAGCACTTTCAAATGCATAATTTTACATAGCATGTTATTCAAGAAGTCCTATAAAATGGCACTTAAAACCATTTCTACTACCACCAACAATAGTTATAAATAATAATCATATAAACACAATACATTTTCATTGCATTCTGAAGTTCTCAGTAAAACAAACACTCTGCCGTGGCCTGCCATGCTGTTATTCTCATGGAAAGGAGTGTGACCAGGAATTCACTACAGCTGGCACTGCTGCGTTGACACTGTCACCCAGGAAGATGTTGGCTTTACCTTTTCTCCATTACTGTTACAGCTTTACTTAAATCTAAAAGGACTTCAGTGACAACCAGGAGCTCTTAGTCAGATTTTTGTGCCAAACTCCAACTACCATTTAAATCTCCAATGTCAGGTTATATTAAGAGGACTATAATACACTGTGCCAATCCTCTTTTCAAATACTGACAATACAATAAAGTCTTAGAAGCTTTGTGATGTGTAGAAGGAAATAGCAAGTACTGTATCACTGACACTGGTAGCTGAAGTCCTTCGTGAAAAGAAAAAGCACTTAGGAGCAATGTAAATTTGCTAATAAGCCATGTGGAGAATTTTTATTTCATATGTCAATGTATTTTGCATTGATATTTTGAAAGTTTATTTGAATGTGTTAATTGAAAAAGTCTTTATGATACTATAATCTTAATTAAATCTGGCTTTTATTTTCCCACAAAAACAGCTCTACTGGACTCTGTTATTCTAATAATGTCTTTACGTCTTTTAGAAGATGATCTGAAGGAGTCAAGTACTGAAATATAGTATCTATCTCATTTTACTTGTGTATCATATGTAAAGTAACCATAGTGTATGCAACATTGCTGAGGTGTAAATACAATAGAGCTATACAGAGGGACTAGCTTTTTTTTGCTAGACCAACAAATCAGTAGGTTTCCCTCAAATTTTGCTTATTCAGCTTTGATGGATAGATTAATAAAAAGTTTAAGACTTGTCTGTGAACCTCCCACTCTATAAAGTGGAAAAGAAGCTTTCAGTTGCATATCCAGCTTACCTTATCTCAGAAGAACTGGAGGACAAGTTTCTGAGTCAGATATCATGAAAAGGCTTTTTAAAAGATGCTTTCAGAAATGTGAGTAGGTCCACTGTTGAAGGCAACGTGCAGTGTCCCCTGAGTCAATGCCACTGCCATTAACACTAGTAATCTCCAGGAGTCGTGACCAAATCCAGTGCTACCTCAATGGCTTCGAGTTCTTTATAAGGCAACTGTGCTAGATGGTCTCCCCATAATATCTAAAGTATTGCTATTTTTATTTCATCCTGTAGCCTGATTATCACTAAAATTAGTCTCTCACATATATTATATAGCTGTTATGTACCAACTATAAGTATGGTTTATGGAACTATTCTTTAAAGAAAATAGGTACTAATACATAAAGCTGCACCCTGGAGAATTTGTGCTGAAATTCACTAAAATGCTGACAAGCTCCCTTTCATTCTGCTAGCTACCTATTTACATAAAAAAGCAAATATTTGAAATAACTATGACTCTCTGAACATTTAGAAAGCCCATGCAATATAGTCAAAGCCCACTAGAAATGTTTTTTTAATGTAAAAAAAATAATTAAGTCTTGTGTAAATATTTCCATAATCACCTACGCAAATCAGATATACTTTTCCTAATTGTGCTTCGAAAGTGATAGAAATAGTCTTTGGGATCACTTGCCGAATTCTTTGTGGCCCTCTTGAACAGGGATGCTGTGTGAAGTACGGGTGTCTGAACTAACTGGTTTCTTGCATGTCTAGAAATAGAAAGGGTTGGAATTAATAGAGAAAAAATGTTGTTTCAAAGGACAGATTTTGGTTAGGTAGTGATTGTCTACTTCTAGTACTATCTTTTACCAATTTATTAAAGATCAATAGCTTATTATTTAATACAATTTCTTGAAATATTTCTAGCATTTTTTAATATTGGTTAATCACATCGAGCAGCAATCTCATATTCCCTCAATGCATTTCCAGCGCATTTCTGCATATTAATTTCTACTGCTGTGTAATTTTTACAAACTTTCTTAAAATTTCTTTCTTAGTGAGGTGTGGATATCTTTAGGTTACTACAAATTCTGGAGGAAAAATGTATCTGAAGATGTGAGCAAATACTTGGTTCATTAAAAATTCTGTGTGAATTCTTTTTCTAGCTTTATTATTAAAAAATAGCAAATAGTTTTATCCTGACTAGTAGATATTAGTTTTGTTTCTTTTCCTTCAGTTATAAGTTAGAAGCGCACTTGCTGTCTACCTTTAATCATACCATTTAATAAAGAAGAACGAACGTTTTTCAGGAAAGAAAGATAGCTTTGAGTAGTCATTATCAGTCCTGCTCTAAACCATTCAAGCAAAAAGCTCTTATTAAAGTGTCAGCAGCATGCAACACCAAGTCTATGGCTTCCTTGTTTTTCACTTGGGTTTTGTGGAGCAGGGTCCTGCAATTTTACACAGGCTCATTGAGATCTTGGCATTGTGAAAAGTATACTTCCAGGGAAGAAAACAGAGTCACAAGGTGAGTGTCTCATTAGATTTCTATCTTGGGAACACTGTCTGAATTCGAACTGCAGGTTTCGATACTTTTTACTCTTTCCTGATTTAGTAGTACTAAATAGCACATTTAAACTGTTGTGAGCAGCACCTACTATGTGCAATATGAAAAGAACACATAATTTAAGCAAAAATAAAAAAAGACAATTATTTTGCTTGAATTGACATAACAGTGCAATTCAAATGCTCCTCACTATTGAGTAACCAAATGCACTATTTTCATTTTTCATTCTATTTAAAATATCACTAATATTACAATATTATTGTGCTTTCATAAATAAAAATACGAGAGCTTGCTTTGTAATAATTTCTGAATGGCACTGAAAAAATACAATAAATAATCATTTGGAACATCATGTTTTAAGTAGAGTGGCTCAGGATTATTTTAAATTTTTTTTCCATTTATCAGTGGGAAATGTAGTTTCCTTAAAACTGCTGGTTTGTACAAGAAAATCCTGGGTTTAATTTTCTTTTGGAAAGAAAAAATAATTAAATGGAAGGTCTTGATTTGGAAAGTCAGGGCATCCCAGGGTGAAACTATTTCATGTGTCAAATTGACTAAGATACTTTGGTTTAGGTTGTCAAGCAGAAACTTGTGACAGGTCTCACAAGAATTCTAGTACAATTTCCTCAAGCCATCATTCTCTGCATTGTTCTCTCTCTTTAGACAGCCTTTTCTGTGGTACAGTTGTGTCCTGCAACTATGAAACATTGCTTCAGAGGAGCTATAGATTAACGCTGGAGCACAAGCCATAGAGAAGAAACAGAGCACAAGACACTTGAATTACAGTATTTGGGCAGCAGAGGCATTGCAGGTACATTCAGTGCACACGGGTCAAGATGAGTTGAACCAGAGAAAACCGCTTTAGTTCTAAAAGTAAAAACTGAACCTTTTGATTTTTCTGAAACAAATTTCTTTCTAATATTCCAGGCCAGTATTGATGATAATTTTTTTTTTTTTTTTTTAATAACGGAGATTTTTCCAAAAAGGGTTATCTGAACTCAGTAAAAAAGTAAAGATTTGATTCAAAACTTTAATGAATGAGTCAAAATGTAGGTAAAATAAATAGTAATTTTGTACCTGTAGGCTCTGATCTTACAGTGATCCCATACCAAAGATCTGGGCGAGGGTCTGTCCATTTGCCAGTCAATGCAGTCTCAGGTTGTCACGGAGGTGAATCACCTTATGACTCAGATGAAACAAAGATCTCCTCAGTACACCTCATAAGACCTTGGTAAGTTGTTTAATTTTTCTGTTTTCAATAAATTGTCTTTGAAAAGTGGAATGGCAACTTAGTCTCTTCCTCTTAGGAGTATGATGATAAATTTGTCAATGTTCCTAAGATGCTGAGGTGTTAAGGTGTTTTGGTAATACCTACAAACACATTGTGAGCAATACACTTGTAGCATGCATACAGAGGACAGTTCTCAAGTCTCTAATTCTGAATGTCTATTAAAATAAAAGCCTTTTAACTGTAAAATCCACTCTAGATAAGTTATTCATATATAAGTAACAGCTATTGGACATGCAAAGTTTATTAATAATAGTAGGAAAGTAATGCTGTTCTTGCATTGTTTCTGCATTTGTACATCTGACTTGATTTCTTTAGTTAATATACTACTGAATAAAAATTACCATGGTAGGCTGTAGGTGCACCATCAACGGGCTGATCAAGGGACTACAGAAATTCATGTGTAACAGGTCTATAAATACAAAGTAAATAGCGTCATCTGGGTGAGTACTAGGGGATGGACAGCAAACAATGGCCAGGCTTGAACATGCTTTCTAATAGCATCTCCCATTGCCATTGTCAGACACAGAATGAAAAGAAATACACTCATTTTCCTTTTAAGTCTTCTCAGAGTTATGCTTCGCTGCCATGTGACAGGTGCTTTCAATTTTATTACGTAC